TTCTGACTCGGACTCTTCCCACAATAAAAAAGCTAACATAAATTTCGCCCAGATATACAAACTTAGACTTTAGATTCATAAAGCAACTTTTAGATAAAAAATAAAATATTTACCAGCGTCTGTAAGAATCAATACAACTGAAATCAACAGAGCGGAACATAATAGGTTATTCATGGTTTTAACGTTAGCAAGACCTGTTTATATTATATTTATAAAGACTTGTTGATACACTGTCGAATGCTAGATTTGGTCACGTATTTATAGTAAATGCAAAATCTCCCACTGAACAGATGTTTCTTTGACGACTGTAAATTAATATTTTATACCAGCAGATCAATGATAGATATCATACAGAATTTTTTTATTTAACAGAATTTTGCACACCAACCAAATCCAAAATATCATTGAAATTTTACAAAAATATCATTGAATTTTCACCCCAAAATCCATTGACATTTCACAAAATACTACTGAAATTTTGGTACATTTTGTTTAAATCTTTCACTGAAATTCAGTAAAATCTCAATTCATATCAAAATTTCATTGAAAATGTGAAATATGATGCAATGTGACTTGGTGGTTTTGTCCTATAAAGCTAGAGACAGCCAGCTATGACTTGGTGCATCTGTTCTATAATATTGGTCTCAGCAAGTTTTGACTTGGTGGTTTTGTCCTATAAAGCTGGAGACAGCAAGCTTGCACTTGATTTTGTCCCATAATTCTGGAGACAGATGGAATGATCCCTCTGTGGCTAAAGAAGCAATATATGTAAAATTAGATTAGAATTTCTCATCCTTTATGTTTTCTATTTTTTAGTCTACGTTTTGATCTCAGAAATTTTCTACTAAAGGTCTGGCCCGAAGATACTACTTTAAACCAATCAAAGCGAGTCATGTTAATCTTTGAATTGTGGAATATCGAAACAATACAGCTAAACTTTGTAACTAAGGATGATGGACATAAAAACATCTAAATTTTGTAACTAAGGATGATGGACATAAAAACATTTAAATTTTGTAACTAAGAATGATGGACACAAAAACAGCTAAACTTTATAACTAAGAATGATGGACACAAAAACAGCTAAACTTTGTAACTAAGAATGATGGACACAAAAACAGCTAAACTTTGTAACCAAGAATGACGGGAACAAAAACAGCTAAACTTTGTAACTAAGAATTGACTATCTTGTTATGGACACCATCTTGAACAACTGTTGATTATTCAATGTCGAAATAAGCTTGTTTAAACTTTACTTTAACTGTTGGGTATTTTGGAATGATAGTGGTACTATTAGATTTGTATCATTATAAAGGTGCATTTTCATTAAGACAAACATGAGTTAACATTAATTTGACGACCATTTTGAAAATATATCAAAACATGAAGGTTCAATATTTCTGGATGATACATGCATGATATGCATGTGACACGCTGTCCTGTCG